ATGTATTTTATTGGTAACTGTGCCATATTCATATCTTTGTCTAGGACAAGACACATCAGCTACTGCATCTAGGCTCCTCCAAAATAACAGAGAACATCTGGGTGAAGATGAGATGAAAAAGTCATAGCCAGGTGATATTTTTCTAATGTAAATTACAAGGCAGGCATACGAGCAGGAAAGAAGTGACAGAAAGTTTCTATTGTAACAAATGCTTGAAGTCTAATTTTGTAAAGTGAAAACATAACTAGGCTATGAGCTATCCAAAGTAAATTGTGGTTGATTACATTAAGAAAAATAATTTTCCTTCTCAGAAGATAGAGGAAGGAAATAAGTAACAATTGCTATCTATTGTGTATTTACTTTGGCCCTCAGTGAAGTACTTTTCAAGAATCATCTTTTAAAATATAGTACCCTTATTTTGCAAAGGAGGAAATGGAATCTTATAAAGGTTAGGTAACTTGCCAAAAGTCCCATAGTTTCAGTCTAGGTTTGTCTGATTCCAAAGCCTATTCTCTTAACCATACTGCAAAGAAGTGAATGGCTATTTAGAATTTGATTCTAAACAGTAAAGCAGGAACTTGTTGGTGAAGTAAGAGCCCAAACTTTTGAGAAAATAAGGAAAAATTTCAGGGAAAGAATGATGTCTTTATGGACAATGGCCAACAACAAGTTGGGTATGCCGTGGTCACTGTAGACAGGTAATAGAAGCCCAAGACCTTGTGGTGGGAACCTCAGAAGGGTGAACTGATAGCCCTCATGACAGCCTTAGTGCTGTCCCAAGGAAAGAAAGGTAATATCTATACAGACTCCAAATATGTCTTCATGGTAGACCATGCCCATGAAGCAACATGGTAGGAGAGAGGACTCAATCTCAGAGAACAAGGATGTTAAACATGCAGAAATTTTACAACTGCTAGAGGCAGTGAACCTATCAGCCAGTGCTAGATTTCAAAGAGTTCTTAGAAAGGTAAGCATAAAATTGTTCTTAAAGACTATATAACTGAAGATATGCAAAAGAGGTAAAAATAACTAGAATAATATGAGCAAGGTAAAACCCCACTATGAGGGGATCTTACAAAAACAAAACAAAAACTCAGGCCCTAAAAACAGCTTTCAAAATACACAGGAAAAAGAATAAATGAAACCTGTATTACCTAGAACACATGATAAAATGTTAACAGATGACATGAGACAGAGGCATTACTACTTTATTATCATCTTCTACAACACTGTCTCAAAGTGGAACAGAATGAACACTGTCATGTGACTTTCAGGTTGAGGTGGGTTGGACAGCCAAAGAATAGTTTTAAATGAGTCCATGTTTCCTGTTATCAGAGAACATTCATCAATAAAAATTTCACAGCTACATATGTAAGTTTTAAAAGCCACAGACAACAAAGGTATCACAAGCAGTAAATTTTATACTTCTTTTCAAGAGGTGGAACAATGACAGACTCAAGGCACTGCAGACAAGATATCAAAATTCCACTAAGGAACATCTATGGGTGAACTAATCTCATTTCCTGTTTGGATAGAGTCACTCAACTGGTACTTTTAAGAAATGAGTCATGTACCATGATTTCATAAAATACAAATTTCTCATCATATTCTTGTGGATGTGTTAATAAACTAAGAACTAGATGACTATACAGGTCAGAGAATCTGAAGCTGGTTGGAATATAAAGTGTGAAGTTATTTATTGCCGACAACCTTAATTAAATTTTTAGAAGATTAGGCTAAGGACCATAGCCCATTAAGCATCTTTATATGACTAAGAGTAATATTTTTGGAACTTCAATGCCCTTAAATAAGGACCTTAAAAAAAAATTTCAGTGCCCTTGACAATATATTTATCAAGTATGCTGATAGCCAACTTAACTTAGATCCTTAGTAAGATAATTAAAAAAACATACTTGAAAATATCATCAAGAGCTCAAATAAACAAAATCAAATTTGCTCTTTAAAGGTTACAATTGCACTCAAGATTTAAAAACGTCAATACTCAAGTGCAGGTTGAGATTTCATGTTGGCTGCAACGGATGTGAACATTTTTCACAAAAGATCTGAATATTTAAATTGTCCATGAGTTCATGAATCATAAACTCTGTAGTATTAGGAAAGCTAATGTAACCTTATGTTGTACTGAGGACTAATGTTATATGGCAACCAAACAATGTATTATAATTGTGTTCCATCAGAACAGATCCACTTGGAAAACTATCTGATGCTTATAACAGAAGATGATACTACTGGTTCCTCTTTGTTGCAATCGTTTACAGAATCACTAGTTAATTCTCCCTCATTGTATGAAGATTTCAGCATACTGTCTCCCACCAATAACATTACTATTTTAATTCTTGGTGGTTTCAACGTCCATGTAGTAGATGATTCCACTAAATACCCTGGCCTCTAAGGTCCCTGACCCAATTTTTCTCCATGATCTTATTCTTTACTCCTTCAGGCATTGGAAACCCCCATGGCTAAGGCTGAATAAAAGGACCTTAGCCTTATGAGTCCCAAGGGGACCATAAGCCACTAGGAGACAAAGCTTATCTTCCAGGCAGGTTGCTGCCTCTGCCCCCTTTACTTCACCCTGCTTGGCTCCATCCAGGCCAATGACTGCTTAGCCAATGACTGCTTAGCCAATGACAGATAAGATTCCACAAGGGAGGGACAACCTAAGACAGGCACGGCCGTGAAGGGGCCCTCAGGGAAAGACTTGGGGGACTAGAGAAAGAGGGGGTAATGGACCCTCACTCCTCAACTTTGACATAGCCTGAGTTGCCATTCTGCCTGTAAGAAGTCTCCTAATCTCTTGGCTGCCTTACACCCCCCCCCCACCAACTTAAGCCTGAAACAATAATGGAGGTGGGTGCGGCCCTATGCTGGAAAGGGCAGGTTCCTGGGACAATCAGGCCTAAGACAGATTGCATAAAATCCTGTGAAACCTGCTTCGATAAAACCCTCAATTTAAAAGGGTCCAAGCACAGAATGAGTTTGTTTCCCCAAAGTTTTATGGCCCTTGAGCTACCTGGCCCTGACTCAGAATAAGTCCTCAGAGTTCTCTGAATTTATCTATTGTTTGATCCTTATTGCGTGACAATGATTGAGTTTTACATATATGTCCTGTATTCCTATGCAAATTAAACACAATAAAAGCCCAATGAGGAATAGGCTCAAGGCCATTCTTCTTTGAGAGAACAGCCACCTCCCCTCCCCCCAGCAGATCATGTCTTGGTAAACTTATTCTCATCCATTGGGGGAGGGGCATGCAGGCAGAGCCCCCCCACATTCAGGTACCAATTCTAGGGTCATACTCTTTAGACCTTTTCATTACTGACTGCACTGCCTCTCTATTCTCAATTTCAAGTATCCATCTCCCATTACTTCTTGATTTCAACAAATCTTTGACTCAACTAACTTTAATACACTAATCATACCACCTTTTTTCACTGTCCCTATAATGTCCTCCTTCCTCTCACCCACCTTAGATTTCATAGTTTACCAGTATCATCACTCTCTTGGCAACACCCTCCATTTTCCTACTCTTCTCTTCCTCTTTTGTCCTCACCTGTCAAAAGCCCAACTGGGTAAATTCAACTCTTCTGGCAGCTAACCTGAATTGGGCCCTTAATGCTGCCTGGAAATATTGGCACATTTCCCTAATGCATTCATTTCTATATTGATAGATGTCTGACTTCATACCTTTTCCTAGAACCTCCTCACCCTACCTTTTTCTAGAACCCCTTTCTCCATCTTTATTCTCTGTGATGACTTTGCAATATACATCATAAACAAAATTAGTATAATAAAAATATCTACTATTTTCCATCACATCTATAAATACACTATCAATAAACTCTACCTTCTCTTCTGTTACTGGATGAACTATTTATGTTCTTACTTAATCCTACCTCTGAATCCAAACATCTCTTCATCACTGGTGAATTTTACAAGATAGATTTTACCCCAATCTAAGCAGCATTTTTAAACAATTAGAGCTGCAAAAAGTAAATACATACATAAATAAATAAATAATAAAGACCACTTGAGTATAAGATTTCTTTGAGAAAAGAGATTTCTGTAACTTGGAGTCCAGATAATCACTTAACACCTCTGAGCTCTAAGATTCTATGGTTTTAGGAAATATAAAATTAAAAAATATCCTACTACAAGTTAACAGTATTAACTGGATTACACCTATTCTTCTCACCCTAGTAACTTACATTAAATTCCCCAGGGGTTTCCCTGCTGACTACAAGGTTGTCTTTGGGGAAGGAATAACAATGGAATATAAGAATGATGAACTGCCCTAAACAACAAAGCAAACAGAACAAAAACAAAGACGCTGAAACAGAGAACAAGTGGGCAGTGACCAGAGGGGAGAGGGAAGGAAATTTAAGGGGAAAAAAGGGGAGGGATTTTGAGGAACAAGTATGAAAGACACAGGGATGAGGACTGGAGGGGAGGAAATGGGAGGGAGGTGGGGAGCACGGGGCAGGGGGGTCCGGGATGGGAGAAATAGACAAAAAACTACTTGAAAAATAACTAAATAAAATTTAAAAAATAAATAAATGAAATAAAATAAATTAAAATTAAAATAAATTTAAAAAAAAAGAATGATGAACTGCCATTATCTACTACTATTTAGAAACCTGCCTAACCATCATATTTTCATTTTCATGCTGCTGTATTTTTTAAATTTACTACCTCAGAAAGTCTCCTGGGAATATTTAATAGAAATGAGTCTTCCAATAACAGTATAGTATAATACTATAATTCTTATAACAACACCATTCACTATGTACTATATATAAATTAGAGCATAGAATTCAAGAAAATACTAGTTGCAGTTAACTTTTTGTTAGCTAATTGCTGAAGAAAGTTGTTTAAATAAGAAAAAAGAACATTAAAATGAAAAAAGTATGTTGGGTAAATGGGAAAGATCACAAAGAAAATTTTACTTATAGCTGGGATGAATTAGCAAGTTATATATTTACCTTTAACAATCTTCTTTGCACAGTCATTATAAACTTGCTCTTGAGATGTGTTTGACTGGAACACCCGATCAAAAGCATAAGGCTTGGTCTGAAAGACAGAAACAAAGCTTTAAACAACACGAATTAAGGGTGAATGGATTTCTAAGCTCCTTCAAAGATATCATTGTATATATTACCTTCACAATAGGATAGCTAAAATACAACACAATCATGACTCCAGAAAAAGTCCCTAACATATGGAATGTTAGGGATCCCTACTCCTTAGGTCTTATCGAAAGAGGGGAGGGGAGGGCAAGGGAGGAAGAAAGAACACACAAAAACAAAGTCTTATTTTTTAATGCACAATTCTCCTCTTCAAAGCTCAGGATAACAGTAAGAATTAAGCAGACATTCCTAAAGGCTACACAAAGTCATTCCCAATCCTCTAGCCTTTGCCACCTTCCATTAAATAGGCTGGAAAGCCAACCCCATTAGTCTAGTCTCTTTGCAACTACTGGCCACATGACCCAGTTCTGGATACTAAGAAGTAAGTGATGGTCTGCTGGGAGGTCTTAAGAGAAAGGTTTTGTTGTCTTGATATAAAGGACCATCTCAGCTGAGGCTGCCCTTTCTCCTTTCTGGAATAAATGTGTGGAGTTGTAAAATCCATTCATTTGATAAAGATGATGATGAAAAGTTAATAACTAAGGAAGACAAAGGATAATAACAGAGTCATTAAATAGTAGCAGTTAAGAGCTATATCTAGAATTTCTATAAGGAAAATAACCTCTCATTTACTTAAAGCACTAGTTGTTGTTTGTTTTCCCTATGCAGCCGAAAGCATTCCTGATGGATATACCAAGAGGACCAACTTTGGTGTAAACTGAAAGTAGACGTGTCAATGTCTAATTATTCTTTGGCTAAGGCATATATAAAAGTGTCCTTTTATTAAAATGCCACTGTCACATTAACATGTAAACCTACAGGTGTGACTAAAAAAGAGCAAATTTATTGCTTTACTGATTATATGAGATGTATTCATGATTAACAATTCTGGAAACAAACACAAGTACATTAAAAATAGCAATCACTATTTTTTTCCTCAAGATGGCAACAGAGTAGGTAGAGGCTATACTTACCTCCTCCCAGGACCAAACTAGAATCACGGCCAAATTACAGAACAATCATCCAGAATAACCAACTGAGGAACAGCTGAGGAGGAGTCTTGTAGCCAAGGATTTATAGAGGCTATATAGAGAATGGAATGGTGGAGACATGAAATGGGCTGGCACTGTTCCCACAGGCAACGGCTTAGGTTCTGGAGGAATGTCTTAGATGCAGGCAGTGCCCCCTGAGAATTGTGGGGTCTAAACCCCAGGCTGGGCTCCCCAGTCCAGAGCACTAGATCTGGGAAGAGGTACCCACATAACATCTTACTATGTAAAGAAGCAGTGTTTCTTCTGTCTGCCAGGGAAAGATGGGAGTCTGCTGGAGAGACAGGCACATAAAAACTCAACACACACGATTTCATTCATAGCCAAGCAGACTAGAGTCACCTGAGGGGAGTCTGAGGTTTGTGGCTCTGGGGAGAGAGCTGGCAGGACAGCTGCCAGGATCCCTATGCTGAGTCATTCTTTCATACCGAAAATGCCATCTTTCTTGGGTGAAGCAATCCCCTCAGTGTGACATCAGCCTAGGCAAATGTAATTGTCCCATCCTCTAGATTCCCTCTCATACCAGCCTGTAGACCTTATGCCCCACAGAGGTGTCAGCTGCCTTGGCTAGGGTGTAGAGGTCTGGGCAGACTCAGGGGGTATTAGTGAATGAGATGGGGTAGGGTTCATGCCCCCACTTCCCTGTGAACCTGACTTCCCTCACAAGGGATATGCCACAGAAACACCCTCCCACACTCCTAGCTTCCAGCAGGCCCAACCTCCAGGCCCCACCATGCTGAGGACAAAGTCCAAGACAGAGTCTGCATGGCTCTGAAGAGGGGACCACACCCACCACCTTCCGGAGGCCTGACTAGCACCACCTCCTCATGGGAGATCATCTAGCACCACCCTCCCAACTATACCAGAGGCTCTTTCAGTGAATGAGTCTACCAGGCAACTAACAGGTGGAGGCAGATCTTGGGGTGCCTTGAAACTTTTGCTGACCTGCCTCTAGGCCAGGTGCTGAAAAAAGCTGGCCTTCATTTGCAGCTGGGTCTTTCCTGCATCAAAGCTCAGCAGAGACAGCCACAAATGGTGGATCGCTTGTAGCTTCAAACAGGTTGCTGGGGGCCAGTCACAAAAGCATCTGACATTGGTCACCCCAGAAAGAATGGGAGTCACAGCATATCTAATACACAGAAACAACACAGAGAGGCAGCTAAATGGGGATACAAAGAAACAGGCCCCAAGCAAAAGAGAACTCTCTAGAACAAGAGTTAAATGAAACAAAGGCACACAGTTTATCAGATATACAATTCAAAGCTATATTTATAAGGATGCTCAACAGCATGAAAAAGGGCACAGAAACCAGAAAAACAAGTCAGAAATGAAGAACACGGTATCTGACATCAAAACAAGTTAAAAACAAAATGCCCAATCAGAGCAGCAAAAAGAAAAAAAGAATAAAAAAGAATGAGGACAGTTTAAGGCCAGGGTCCCCAACCCCCAGGATGGGTACTAGTCTGTAGCCTGTTAGGAACTGGGCCAGGAAAGAAGCTCACCTGAGCTCCACCTCCTGCGCCCCCCCCCACCAGTTCTCGCCTGCTTCTACAAAACTGGTGGTTCCTAGTGCCTGCCAGTTTAAGGGACACCTGGGACAACATGGAACATATGAATATCCACAAAAATAAGGGTACCAGGAGAAGAGAGAGAGAGAGAGCCAGGGATTGAAAAACTATCTGAAGCTACAATGACCGAAAGCTTCCCTAACATGGGGGGGTGGGGGGTATAGACAGACATACAACTTCCAGGAAGCACAAGAACCCCAAACAAGATGAAACCAAAGAGGTCCACACCAATACACATCTTAATTAAAACAGCAAAGGTTAAAGATGAAGACAGAATCTTAAAAGCAGCAAGATAATAAATACATACCTTTCAACAGTCACTTTAAATGCTCCAATTAAAAGACACAGGGGGTATAGCCCTGACCAGTGTGGCTCAGTCAGTTGGGTGTTGTCCCACACAGCATAGGGTCGCTGGTTCAATTCCAGGGAAAGGTATGTGCCTGGATTGATGGTTTGGCCCTGGTCAAGGCACGTAGGAGAAGCTAGCAATTGATATTTATCTCTCACCTCGATGTTTAATAATTTTTGCATGGCAAGGTAAACCAGTAACAAACCCGCCCGACCAAATAGGAGAACATATTTGCAGATACACCTGATAAAGGCTTAATACCCAAAATTTATAAGGAAGGTATAACACACACACACAAACACACACACACACACACACACACAATTCAAATAAGAAACTAGCACGGACCTGAATAGACACTTCTCCAATAGACACACGAAAAGATGTTCAAAGTCACTAGTCACCAGAGAAATGCAAATTAAAACCACAATGAGATATCACCTTACCCGTCAGAATGGCTATCATCAATAAATCAACAAACAACAATCATTGGCAAGGATGTGGAGAAAAGAGAACCCTTGTGTACTGTTGCGTGGAATGCAGACTGGTGCAGCTACTGTGAAAAGCAGTATTGGAGGTACCTCAGAAAATTAAAGCTGAAACTGCCTTACAACCCAGCAATTCCACTTCTGGGAATATATCCAAAGAAACTCAAAACACTAATTTGAAAGTACATATGCACCACTACTTACAATAGTCAAGCTGAGTGGGTGAAAAGCTGTGGTACATTTATTTACATGACACAATACTACTCATTTTTATGGAAACCTTACCTTCTGTAACAGCATGAACAGATCTTGGAGAGTATTGTGTTAAAAGAAATAAGCCAGTCAGAAAAACATAAGTACCATGATTCCCCCCGTATGCAGAATCTAATGAACAAAATAAAAAAAAAATGGAGACAGACTTGCCTTGTGGATACAGAGAACAAGGTGACAGCTGTCAGAGTTGGGGGCCTGGTAAGAAGCATGAAGGAATTAAGCAAAGAAAATAAAAAAGCAAGACTGGTGTATACAGACAACGGTATGGTAATTACCAGAGAGGAGGAATGAGGATAGTTAGAAGCGGATAAAAGGGGGATAACTGGTGATGGAAGGAGACTTCACTTGAGATGGTAAATTAAAACAAACAACACAATATACAGATGATGTACTGTAGAACTGTATACCTGAAGCCTATATAATATTATATCGCCCCAGTAAGTTATAAAAAGTAATAATTATCACTCAGAGAGAAATAATGCTATTTTTTCTATGCAAAACAACAACAACAAAAACCCTCTTCCTCTTCACTTATCCAGCAAACGTTTATTTAGCACCTATAAGGTATCAGATATAATAGGTAACAATTTTAGAAATGAGATTTAATTACTACAGGCCTTCGTATTCAAAGAATAACAGAGAATAACAACAGAGTCTTGAATACTAAGGTACGAAGCTTTATACTAGGATCTAATTAATATAATTGATCAATGTTAACTGAATTGAAATGGAGACAGTCTCTAGCCTTAACTCACAACCTGGCAGAGTCAAAAATAGATTTCAACTAGCTAAAATATACATTTAATAACAGATGTGTTAGAAAACAGCATGAAAGCAAAATTTAAACAATGATTATTTCTAATTTTGCTTACAAGAAACAAGCTAATCAATAGAGTAGAAAACAAAACTATGAAGATAACTGCATCTCTCCAAAATAAGTTAATATTATTAAAATAAACATTTAACAAACAGAAAGAATAGAGAACTTAAGTTCTTATCTCCATTTTTACATCAATAAAACAGTGCTTTTATTCCATTTAGAAAGTATGCTAAAAATAATTAATAATAATAAGCCCTACCTCAAAAGTACATTATGCAGCCATTACTCTAGCAGCACCACATAGTAAATATGCATACTACTTCTACAATCTAATTAAAGTACAAACATAAAAATAATCAAGCTGGGACAGAGTAATTTGTTTAGAAGTTATATCACTGTTAAATAAAAAATTAAGTGCTTAGTGTTAAGTTGATAAAACAACCTCATTTTGATTCCAAATCTAAATTATAATTTTATTAAGGCAAATTTTTGATTAGAGATCTAGCCATAAAGTTACTAACTGACCTTGACTTCCTGGGATGAAAAAACAAGACTCATGAAACATGAAAACTATTTCTAATGCTCAATAATTAAGGCACATCTCTGAACTAATAATCTTTTAAATTAAACAAAGGAAATCTCAATATTTCTTTTTTTCTTTTTTTGACATCTACGTAGGAAAGCCTGGCTCTTGGCCTTGACATGTATATTATGCACTCTATGTGATCCTTCAAAGACATTCCAAGTCACAAGATTCACTGACATACAACTTGGCTTCGAAAGGACAAAACCAACTAGGAATGTTTATTTGAACTGCAACCATACCTTAGATTTCTTAAGTGAAGTGATTCATGTCTGTCTGCACAGATCAGGCTGAACACCAAATTAGGTTGCAAAGGAGACCTATCTGGCAGAGATAACACTCTCTCTAGAATTCTGAATAGTAATCATCGATCACATGGAATTACAGGATATTAGATTTTCCTTAGTTTGCCACTGATTATGGACTAAATATTCCATAATTGTAAAGGTATATAATGATGGCTAATTGGTATATAATAATTTCACTGTTAAGGTAAACACGATTAAGCACCAAATCATCATTCACTTAGAAAGGGAAATCCTGCTGCAATGAAGGCAAGGAACTGGGCAAGATAATTAGGTTCATTCTCCACCTTCAATGAATTACATACAATGGACCTTTTTTTTTGGTCCTGGCAGCCTCTACAGTATACTATATAAGGAACAATAATTAGTAAAGATAATTAATGCAAGTGTAAATGTTACACTTTTGCCATGCATAACTACAGGAATAATTTTTCCTATGGATTTTTTTTCTTGTTTTCAGCAGGCTCATATGAAGTACGTAAGAAGTTTCCCTTGTCCTCCCTATTTTGGTGGATATCAAATTCTCTTATTTAAAGCAAATAGATTTTGCTTGTATCATTTACAAGATTTTCATAAAATAAGCTTATTTCATTCAATACGTGATATTTACAGCATTTCACCAAGCTCTTAAATTACAAAAAAAAAAAAAAATCTATGAAAAATGGCCAAACAGAAAAATACAGTAAGATTACAAGATCTGTCATGTGGTCACATATCAAAAATAGCTGATTACATGACTACAAGGAAAAAATCTGAAAATACTGAAAATCAAATTTAGGTGAAAATAAGACTCCTTGAATTATTTTCTACATTAGCACTGATTAAAATTCCAATTTGGTCACATAAACTAATGTACATATTCTCTTTTGATATAACTAGAAAACTACAAGTAAACTTTTAAAATCATGTTTAAATTCATTACAGCAATTCCTTCTTAAACTCTTTATTTTGAGTCAGGTTCAAGATTCAATAAAACAAACAAAACAAACCGAGAGGTTTTGTCTAGAGACTTTCCAATGTACTCCCCCCAGCAGTCCTTAGAAATTCCCAAACAACCTTTAAAAAATAAAAATATTCATTAAAAAAAGCTGAACAACAAAGAGACCTCAGACTAAGTAATGACATTACTATATGCAAAAGACTAGTTCCTGAAAATAATAAACTAAACCTATTACCTTACATTTCTAAAGGCTTTGTCACTCAGTTGTAATTTATTTCTGCTTACACATTTCTAAAAAACCAGACTAAAATGCTTTCCAGTTTACCTAAAGCCCAACAGAATTAGTATCACTGATTCACACAGCTCAATCATCTATCCATTCTTTCTACTATCATTTAAGCTTATTTACATTACTAATATGTAAGAAACTTATAATTAACTTTATCCAAAAGAAAAAAACCCAGTATAAATGTGTGCTTTTTGTGGTAATTACTTGTTATAACCATTATGTGAATCCTAAATTCTAACATCCCCCCAAAATAAATCTTGGTAATATTTACAGATTTGTGTAAACACACAAAAAAGTCTGGAGAAGACGTTTTTAATACAAGTTGAAAAGGAAAACAGTTTTGATGTGTTGAATACTGTTGAGGCTCAGTAATCACAAAAACTCTATGAGAAACAGGAGCCTCATGTTTGCCTTGTAAGGCGCCCAATTCCATGTAAAATATACCCTTCTTTAAAAAAAAAAAAAAAAGGATGACTACTTCTGTGCTTCACTTCTTGACCACACTATGTCATTAATAGCATAAGTTTTTCTTGTGGACTTGTTAATAAAGCTTGACTATCTCTTCACACAGAAGTAGCTGACAGTTGTAATCTAATGACTTGTTTGCCAAAAGCCTAACAAGCAATGAACCACATTCATTCTCTAGACCGAAACTGTGGAAATTTTCATATATGAACCCTAGTGAACTTTAATCCTGTCTTACATGTCACTGCTTTTAACTATTACTGTCCCATTCCTATGAGCCCTTTGTCTTATTTCCAAATTAAACTGTCCAAACAAGATGCTAAATATGGACTGCCACTGGAAAAAATTAACATTAATTTGTTCCATGATAACAATGTAGAAAAAAGTTCTGTCACATGGTGTTACCAAGAAAGATTTCATTTAATTTTTAGTTACACTGTTCTGTATGCAGTATCTTACTATTCATTTTAATCTCCTTGAACTCGGAGTGCTATCTGAAACCTAATACCGGAGATCAAACCTCAAAAAAATCCAAGACACAACAAAAAACCCATTACATTCTGGTCTCCCTGACAATGACTCTGCCAACTCTGGTTATATTTTATACTACAAAGAAACAGTATCTCACCATCCTTGGAATAATAAAAATCAACTTTATTACAGCTAGATACCCACAACATTAATTACAGAAGTAGGAATCTAATACTAACATGAAATCGAATTTACGGGTGAATTTTTTTCTTTTTAAAAATCTTCCTTTTGTAATACTCTGATATGCACACAAAAAAATTAACACTCTTACCTAGACTGTTACCTGCTAAAACATAGTAACAGTAAGATTATGGTTGTTTCTGGGCACTTGTTTGACCCAATCTGAAGTGGACAGAACAGCTATAATTTCAAACAAAACTGATCCCACCGATTTTAAAAGAGAACTTAATACTTCTTTTTAATAGTTCTTAGTCTTTTTCAATTAACAAAAGGTGAGTGGATGGATAAACATTTGAACTACAGGTACATCTGTAATTTTTTGGTAGTTTTTCCTCCTCCCGCGTGGAAGATACGGTTCCTCATGTAGTTACGTTTCCATAATACTAAGTCTTTACTATTTAAGATACAGTAGGACTTCCCTAGCTGAAGTAGCTCGGTGGATTGCGCGCGGGACTGTGAATCAAAGGGTTGCTGGTTCATTTCCAGTCACGGCCCAGGCCTGTGTTGCGGCCCAGGCTCCCATTAGGGGTCGCGCTAAAGGCAACCACACATTGACGTTTCTATCCCTCTTTCTCCTTCCCTTTCCCGGCTCTCTAAAAAGAAACAAATAAAATCTTTAAAAAAATACAGTAAGATTGGTCTCACAACTCCACGTTCTTAGCTGAATTTTAATCTTAGATTTTTTTAACGAATAGTAAATTGGGAGTAGTCCAAAACCCAAACGGCCATCAGCAACAGTAACTGCATATAAACAGGCAAACGTACACTAAACTCGCTCTGCGGAGAGTTCCTCCGGCGCCCCAGGTTGAGGAGTGTCTCACAGACTGAGACCTGGAGCCTCCCGCCTTCCAGCACTGGAGTCCCGGTGGTGGCGATCCAGGAGCACCCTACCCAGGAGCGCAGTCTCCTATCCTGGGTTATCTGACTCCGCAATCTCCACCAGAGAATGTCGGGGACACCACTGCTCCCTCTACATTCTGCACCTCGCCACTTCTCTGGACTCCAGGCCAGCTAGGCCTGAAAGCAGCGGGACTGGGGGTAACTCACCGCGATCACAACCGTGTCTTCTCCCTGAAACTTGGCGATGTACTTATCGCCGCGGTTCACTTCAGACTCATTAAGAGGTCTGAAGCGACACATCACTTTAATGTTGCACTCCGCTGGATCCGCCATCTTCTTCACTGCCGGGACTGGAGGCCGGGAGCCACTCTTCGCCACTCAGTTTTGGTAGAAGCAAACCCGAGGTGAAAGTCTAGGGTCACGAGGGCAAGAGAATCAGCAGTCCGCAGAGCCGCGCTTTCTCTGGCGGGGGTGGCAGGGAGACTGGGACTCAAAGTGCCGGCAGCTGTCGCGTTGAGGCTCACTTCCGCTCCATCATGGCAGCCATGGCGGCGGCAGCACGTAGGGGAGCGGCCGAGGTTGCTCGGTTTCTCTCTAGCTGGCCTGCGGAGACTTAGAGGTCTGGGGAGACTCTGGAGACCGGGAAAGTGGCCCACTCCTTCCTCCTCGGAGAAAGCAGACGATGCCCACTGTCTCCCCACCGGACAGCCTGTTCACTTCCCAGCCGATTGCCTGCGACCTCCCAGCCACTCCTAAAGCCACAAACCAGCGACCAGGCAAGGGGATGGGCGGTGCGTGGGAGCACTGCGCAGGCGCCCGTGCCAGCGCTCCCTCGGCGACCAATCGGTGCTAGTGCCAGCACCGATTGGCCCCTTGCAAAGCTACTGCGCCCCAGTCCGGCGTCAGTTCGGAGATCGTAGATTCAAGTTTTACTGAATACTCCCCAAAGTTTGGCGGCGGGGCTGCTGCTTTGACTTTTGTCTGGCCGCAGAATTCCGCACAATTAAAGCAAAAAACCATTTAGCTTCCTTTAGAGAGCAGTGGATTTTTAAGAACTATGTTGTCGTTTGTTTAAATATAATACCGTATTCCGATAAGGTATGTTTGTTATTTAGTCTGGAGATAAAATTGATTCCTAGTCGCCTTTTTAGAGTTTTTTGCCAGAAAAGGGTAGATTTGAATCAAAGAAGGGACATGTTCTCTGGTTTAAGCGGTTGCTGTTTCTGAGAGAGTGGGTTGGGGAGACAGGAAAAAGGGAAATTTCTTCTAAGAAATGAAGGTTGCTGAAGAAATGTGGAAAAATAGGGTGAGGTGGGAGAAGGCCCTTAGTCGGGGGGGGGGGGGGGGGGTCCCTCTTCTCCAGGAACAAACAAATGGAATTCATCAGTCTCAAAACCGGAGGAATGCCTTTCTCCTGGGTTTCAAAGGTCTTGGACAAATTTGTGGGTTAAATAGGAGAACCATTCTATAATTGTTTTTTGCTGTCTATTGTAGAATATCATAATAGCTCTTCTCATGAAAGTGTATTCAAAGTGCTGTCATAGGAGAACTGCAAAGATAATTAGGAACCCTTCCTCTGGTTCCCAGTTTTGGTTTGTAAAGTAAAGGACTGGACTATGAAAACCTTCAGTGTCCTCTGCCCTTGCCCAATCTTCATACCTCCAAAAATAAATCCATTGTTCAACAGGTTGATTGATGTACTGCAATGAGGGGAAGATCCCACCAGAGGATCTGTGGGGCATCTCCCCAAACAAAAGTGTCAACTCTTGGTCCATGGTCCTTGGTGCCAATCCAATGCCAACAGGAGACCCCAGTTTGGGGTGAGGTAAAGGAAACTTTAGTTAGTGCTTACAGCTTGACAGTAATATAATATGGCTGTAAAAACAGCAGTGGTGTGGAACAGTTCAATCAGGGTGGGGAAAAATAGGTCTACAGTTCATGTGGGAAATAATATAGTAATTAATACATAATAATAAAGAATAAACTTTCATATAAAATTGTAAACTTATTTTGACCCCAGTGTTAGGCCAAATGACCCAGTGTCAGGCCTCCTCCAACTAGGATGCTTTCCTCCCAGATGGTCTACTCCACCCTGCTCTACTCTACCCCATTCTATCTTTTACTCCAGTCTTTGGTATCCATTCCTGGACCCTATTTCCCCACATGGTACGCTTCCACAGCCACAGGGAACCTTGCTTATATGGACAGAAGTCTCCAACCATGGTCCCTGATAGGTCAGAATAGAGCTGCTCTGATTGGTCAGAACTATGCAACTCCAATTAGATGGGGGAAAGCTCAATCCTATTGGTTGAAATAGTACTCCAGGAACTCCTTTATTTGGGCTGGCTTCAATGGCAGAAATAGTGCAGGCAGGCAGTTCAGTGCAGAGGCAGGCAGCCTAGTGAAGCGTCTTCTCTGCGGAGTGTAATTTGTGTGAAGGGGTCCCTGTGCAAAAAATGGCTGCTAGGCCCTGCTTTTTAATTAATTTATTTATTTTTGGCAAGTTATCCACGAGGATCCCTTTTTAGCTCTCAGGGTTCACAAAGGAAAAGATGGAGTTGTTACAGGGCTTTGGGGGAAGTGTGGAGGAGTTCAGGTAAAACTTAAATGAAGCCAGGTTTTGATAGTGTTAAAGAAAAAACAAAACAAAGCCGCAGGTGTAACTGCAGAACCAGCTCAAAATGGCCCTATTCTATTCCTAACAAGGTACTGAGTTGTTTTAGAACAAAAACTGCAAGTCATGCAGCCAAACATAAGTAGGGGAGAGAATTTTGACCTCCAGTAACACTGGGAACGAAAGTTTGGACTCCACCTGCCCCCTCCACTCCGCCCCCCACACACACAGAGCTAAAGGACCCATTTCAGAAATAAAGGGGGAAGTTCCAATGCTGAAGCCCCTTACCATGTCTTCCCATATGTGGCTAACTTTTAAAGTTATTCAATTGAAATTTGCCTTGCCAGCATTTCTGCAAAATAGCCTGTTCTCTTCATCCCCTTACATCTTGCTCTGAACTCTTGATGAGGAGATAGAGTTGAGCTCTTCCTTTTGTCTCCCTGCTGGTTAATCTCACAATGAAGCTTTTTTTTTTTTAAATTTTCTTAAAAGCCTGTGCTACACAGTATCAACTTCTATGCAAGTAGGTGAATGACCCCTTGCTCAATAACAGAGGCCCAAAATGGCATTATTGGTGCTAAAAACTCTGGATATCAAACCTAGGTTTGATACCAAATTTAACTGTAGTTTCAACCTCTTCCAGAAACATAATCTTAATCAAACAGTATGAAATTTTCTGGTCAAGGATCAGTAAGGTAATGTCACATAAGCCTTCTCCAACCCTCATAGGAAGAAGAGGCAGACAATCTACACAATAAAAACCCTCCCCTTTCTCTTCCCCCAAAGAAAAGATGCATTGGTTTAAGAATAATCCTTTCTTTTCTTTGATAATAGTTCCCTTGCCCCTCTATTTTTCCTAAAAAATCCTTCCATTTTGTACAACTCCTCAGTCCCCCCTTCTAGTTCCTCAATGGGATGTTCCATGATACACAAATCTCTCAATAAAACAAATTAGAACCTCAAATTTACTCAGTTCAATTTTGTTTTTTAGCAATAGACTCCAAATAAAGCAGACCTGTGACATCAAGTCTGGGCTACAAATGGCGCCTCATTCCTGTTTCTTTGAGAAATACAAAGTTAAGGTAGATGTGGAATGCTGTCTTTAGTAACCTGTCCCAAAGCCCTGTGCTTGGCTTAAAAAAATCAATCAAGTCTGCTTCTTATGACTTAGATCCTCCAGGCAACTATGGAATGTTTTATATCTACTGATGTAATTTCAAACAATTTCTGATAAGCTTTGTTTTAGAAGACAAAGTTTCCAGCCAGTAAGGAAGCAGTAATCACTCTAAGAAGAGGTTGTGGCTGATATGCAGCCAATTTTTAACCTTCACAGCAAGATCTCATGAATGCTCTGCCCTCAGCCCTCTGCTCTTTTCTCTCTGAACTCACTTCTTTCACAATTCCTTGGAACCCCTTATCTATAATTTAGAACTTTTCACCTGTGTGGTATCTCCACCTCACCAGCAGTTTATAGGCCACCTTGTTTATGATGCTCTATCTGTAGACAGAAAAAAAGGAGTTCTACAGCAAGTAATATTGTCACAGGGTGCAGCCAAGATGGGAGGCCCAAATAGGGATTTGTAATGGGGTCCAGGACCCAAGGTGTCCAGAAAATACTAGAAAAATATATATAGGATGTCCTCACCCCCATGAGTCTGAGCTGGGGGACACATGGAGCAGGGCCATTCAGAGATGTTTTGTATAGCAACAGCTTTGCAGTTTAACCTCTGGCATGGTCATTTAACACATCTATGCATTTATGCACCTTCAACTGGTTGCATAAATATGTTAAGTAGCTGTGGCGATGCTTTGAGCCAGGGGTATGGGAGTGACCTCAACCCAGGATGCAACTGGGAAGCAAATCCCCCTGATTACAGCACCTGCATGAGAGCTTGGAGATGATTGGCTCCATGCCATGGAGCCATGCCTGCCCAGACTCACTATGACAGGCCATTAAAGCCAGAAGAATATAGGAATACTGGCAGGTGTAACTGATTGTGGGAGGAGTCAGAAATGGGACTGCAGAAGAAGATTGGCTTGGGGATTTAAACCCAGACTTGGCAGCCATACCAGTAGTCAGGATCACACGGCTTTGAAGGAGTCAGGAATCATCACACAGCTTGGGCAGAGGTTGGGACCACACATCTTTGGGGTTCTCCCTTTTGCCACATGGCTTAGACAGGAGGAGAGACTTTGCCTGGAAGAAAAGGGGTGAAAGGACTCTTGCTGGGGGGCCACAAGAAGGTGCCACAGGCCTTTGAATTAACTGGAGATCATGGCAGTAACACAGCTGATGGTGCCAGAACCAAGGGGCTGCCTGAAACATGGACTTCTACTTCTTTTCCTGAGATATGGTATCCCCAGACTGGGCAAAAGGGAGAAGGAAGGACTGTATGCATTTGTGGGTATTCTAAAGAACTTTAGTGTTTTAATGAAGACATTAAGTCATTACTATAAGTCTGTATAACTTTTAAATAAATAATTCCTTTCCTTTTCACCAATCTCTGGCATTGAGAGACGTCTTTCCTCTGGCAGTGGGCAAAGCAAACCTAGTATGGGGGGAACCCCCAGAGAAAAAGAGGGTTTCCTTTAGGTAATAATATATTGTTCACCCTCCCAGGGTCTGTTCTGTAACAATAACTGTGGACATACTACATTATATAGCAAATGGGACTTTGCAGGTATAATTAATGTTATTAATCAGTTCTCCTTAAAATGAAATTGCCCTGGGTTATCTGGGTGAGCCCAACATATTCCCAGAAGCTTTGACCATGAGAGAAAAGCAGAAAGCCAGAGATGTACAGAAGAAGGGGAAGCTTGAAAAGGATTGGATACCATGCTGCTATCTTTGACAATGGAGATGGCAAGGAGCCAATGAAGTGGGTAGTCTCCAAAAGCTAGGAATGACTCCTGACTGACAGCCAGCAAATACACAGAATATCATCCTGTAAGTACATGAGAAGGAATGAAATTCTGCCCACAATCTCAATGAGCCTGGCAGGAAATTCTCTGCCACAGCCTCCAGGGAAGCACCCAGACTGACCCCTTGATGTCAGACTCATCAGACCCTAAATAAAATACCTGATTAAGCCCACCTCAACAAGTGACATACAGAAACTGTATGTTGTGTTAAACCACTAAATTTCTGGTAATTTGTTACAGCAATA